CTCCAAGTACCCTACGGCTCTAGGCCCCGACCTCCCTACAGGCACCCGAAGGATTCAGACCCCACGGGGTATTTAGTACTCGATTCCAGGGGAAGTAGACGCTATACTCCCAGCGTACGACGGCCCTACAGGCCCTGAACCAGACTCCCTCCCAGGCTCTCGACCCCCCACGCCTACAGGCTCTACGTCACCTACATACGCCCAAATCGTCGCTACAGGCTATATACCCCCGAAGCCGTCCACTAAACGCCCTGCAAGAACACCCTCCCCAGGGGCTCGACGCCCTACGACACGCCAAAAGATAGGCCCTACGCAGCCTATAGAGCCTATAATCAAAGACAGCTCGTCCGACGAAGATCTTTATAGTGCCTCTACAGCGCCATCGTCCCCTACCCCTAGCTTTGAAGACGCTATCTCAACGCCTATACCAACTACACCTACCGATAAGACGCCTACCACACCTAGCCTACCCTCTGATAGCCCCTACTTCCCTCGACTATCACGAGTAGGCTCCCCTATAAGCAACCGAAGCTACTCACCCCTAGAATCACCCCCTAAAGCTCCCCAAGCTTCAGCACCCTCTCACGCTAAAGAGCCTATAATAATAAGCTCTTCTCCCCCAACCACCCCTACAACACACCTACCCCTCACAAATCACCTACCCTCCAAAACTACCACAACTCACCTACCCTCTAAAAAAACCACAACTCACCTACCCTGCGAAACCTCCACACCTAGCCTACCCTGTAACCCAACACTCCAGGGCCGTACTATAGGGCCTACAGCGTCTAAACGCCCTATATCAACACAAGGCACAGCATCTTCAGCGCCTAAACGCCCTAGAACGTCAACACTAAAACGCCCTACCGACCCCCTCACATCTGAGCTACCCTTTGGATTACAACAATCGATCCACTGCCCCCAGCCTCAGGCTACCTCAGCACCTACACCCCTACACCCACAGGCTTCCTCAGCGCCTACACCCCTAGACGAGAGCGCTAAAGACCACTTGAACGCTATAAGCTCAGCGCTAAGAAACCCCTATATGCAATCCCTCATGAGATATAGCACTATTAAGGTCCCTGAAACACGTCTCCACGCCAGGCAAGCAGCGCTATTTACAGAGGCCGCTAATCGAGCGGCTTTAGCGTTCTTACGGCAGCCTAGAGAGAAGCAATTACTGGACTTTTTACTGCTTCCCAGGGTTCTCGGCCTAGGATTACAGAAGGAAGAGCTCGCTAAAACGCTGAAAGCCTACCCTACGACTATACCGGATATCCCTGAAACTCAGGGACCTCCCCCTGAACCCCCTACCCCCTCAAACGACTCCCCCGCCAAAAGAGCGACTAAGCTTCTGGAAAAAGGCTATATAGGGCGTGCCTCTAGAGCCCTAATCGACCCTACGCCTCTAGCTCCTAGCACTCCAGAGACGCTAAATACGCTATACTCGAAGCACCCTATAGGGCATAATAACCCCTTCAGTAACGCTAACCCCTCCCCGGGGCAAAATATCACCCCTGAAACGATACGACAGGCTATTCGATCGATTAATAGAGAGAAAGCCCCTGGCCTCAGCGGCTGGACCCGCCCGCTACTTGATATAGCGCTAAATTCGGAAAACTCCCCTGTAACTATAGCGCTTACACACCTAGCGAATATGATTCGACAGGGTACAGCTCCAGGGGTCGACCTCCTATGTGCTTCCCGACTTATAGGCCTTCAGAAGCCTGACGGAGGTGTGCGACCGATCGCTATAGGGGACCTTATTTATAAGGTAGCCCTAAAAGCGATCCTTATCAGCTCCTTCAAGCCGTCTATGCTTCTACCCTGCCAATTAGGCGTTAGCACCCCAGGTGGTGTAGAGCCTATAATCTTCCTCCTTGACGACGCTATTACCGGCCCAAATACCCTAAAAACTCAGCAAATCGCCTCCTTAGACCTTATCAACGCTTATAACCGAATCGGACGAACCTCAATAGCAGCTGCAGTCGCTAAATACGCCCCTACTCTCTATCGGACCGCTAAATGGGCCTATAACCAGCCTTCAGTGCTAGTAACAAACGAAGGCCACACGCTAGCAAGCGCTGAAGGAGTACGCCAAGGAGACCCTATTGCCCCCCTCTTATTCTCTCTAGCGATCCGCCCCCTGCTAGAGCACCTCCAAAAGACCCTACCGAAGGCTACAATTATAGCTTATTTGGACGATATCTATATCCTTAGCCCTGAAACTACAGCACTACTCCCTGTAGTTATAGAAGCCTTCAGGGACTCTCCAGTAGCTCTTAACCGCCAAAAGAGCACCGAAAGCCCTATTTCCCAGTTACAAACCACTGGACTTAAGGCCTTAGGGACCTTTATAGGCCCTGTAGCACACCGCCGAACGTTCCTCCAGGGGAAAATCGACACTCTCGCTACAGCGCTATATACCCTACGAGACCTCCCTAAACAACACGCTACCCTACTCCTACGGGGTAGTATACACCTACTCCTACGACACTTACAGCGCCAATTGTACTCGGAAGACCTACTAGACCTCTGGAGGTTAGCAGACCTACGAATCAAGTACGCTGTACAAGCCCTAATCGCTAGGGAGCCAGGGGAGAAGACTACCCTAATTCGCCAGGCTTTACTCTCTCTTCCAGTGAGAGAGGGAGGCCTAGGGCTCCCTATACACGCCTTATTAGCCCCAGGGCTCTATAGGGCAGCTAAGGAAGCCTCTCGATCGATTCTAGTGGCTATATGCCCTAATCTCTACCCGGAACCCCCTGGACGCCCTGTACCGACAGCCCAAGAGGTCTTCTCTAGTGTTAACCAAGACCTAGAAGAGAAGATTCTACCTACCCTATCAAAACAAGCGCTAAAATCGAAGCTTGAGAACGCTAGCTACCTCGGACGATACTGGCTTAGAACCCTGCCCACGCAAAAACACCACCTTTTAGCGGATTCTACAGTTACCGAAGCACTACGGACTAGGCTCTTACTCCCTGTAAAGCCCCCTATTTCGCCCTGTACCGCCTGTGGAGCCTACCCTCAAATAGGCCACGAAGACACCTGTAGAGGTGCTGAACGACGCTGGATTATACGCCATAACCAGGTTACCCGTGCATTTATTACTACCCTTTCTAGCCGGGAAGACCTTAAAGTGGAATCGGAGCCTACGCCAGCTAGAACGCCTATAGCCCTAGAAAACAGCCAACGACCGGATTTTTCAGTGCTTATAGGTACTTCTAGGCACTATTACGACGTTCAAATAGTAGCAATCAACAAGGATTCAGCACGCGAAGAAGCCTATGCTACGCTATCAGAGGCAGCAAACGCTAAACGGCTTAAATACAGCGACTTAGGCCCTGTATTTCACCCCCTGATCTTCTCGGCAGGAGGCCTAATGGAAGCCGAAACAGCGAAGACCTATAAGGCCCTACAGGGCCTATTAGGGCACTCTAGGGCTAAGTGGTTAGACGGGTATATCGCTAGCACCCTAACTCAGGCTCGAGGAATCGCTGCAACCTCGATCCTAGCACGTAGGTAGCTTATAACACACGCTATACCTACCCTACAGCACACACTACACCTACCCTATAACACACACTACACCTACCCTACGGCACACACGACACCTACCCTACGGCACACACTTCACCTACCCTAAGTAACTCACACTTCACCTACCCTGTGATACATACTCTATCTACCCTATAGTACACACTCTACCGACCCTGCGACTCACACTCTACCTACCCTTTGGTACACACCTTACCTACCCTATGGTACACACCTTACCTACCTTGCAATACACACTTCACCTACCCTGCGACTTACACTTTACCTACCCTTTGGTACACACTTTACCTACCCTATGGTACACACTACACCTACCTTGTAATACACACTTCACCTACCCTGCGACTCACACTCCACTTACTCTAAGTAACTCACACTTCACCTACCCTGGGGTACACACTCTACCTACCCTATGGTACGCACTCTACCTACCCTGCGACTCACACTACACCTACCCTGTGGTACACACTCTACCTACCCTGTGGTACATACTCTGCCTACCCTATGGTACACACTCTACCTACCCTGCGACTCACACTACACCTACCCCTTGGTACACACTTTACCTACCCTTTGGCACACACTCTACCTACCCTTTGGTACACACTACGCCTACCCTCTGATACACACTTTACTTACCCTTTGGTACACACTCCACTTACCCTGTATTATCTCCTTCTGTCTTAGTACTCTACCTTCTGTACCCCTGACACCTTCAGGCTCTTACCCTCTGTATTATTAGTATAGTCCTTCTGTATTTCAAGACTATTAGAGAGAGATAAAAACACTCGTCGTAAGCTAGCGTAGTTAGAAACAAATATAACCCAAACCTCAAACCCTTCATCAGCACGGCAAGCGACGCTGAAAGAGTTTTCACAACAGCAGCATGGATCGTGAATATCTTGCGGTCCGGGCCGTTTCGGCCTACGAGGAATTGGAAGGTCCTCGAACTTGAGAATCCTTAGTGTTCCACAAGTTAGCTTCTGTTATGATCAGTCTAAGGGCAAGGGCATGTTACTTATCAAAGCTGACCGTCATTGTAAATTACACGGGTCTCTTGTTAGGTGAGATTCCTCATGCTCATCGAAGCTTCTAGTTTGGGTTTAATTTATGTGCCACTCGGCTACGTTGCCCTCCACCGTTAAGGCTTCCATATTAATAGGGATAGAAGATGGATGACTTAATTGTCAAAATAACTGCCAGAATAGAGCTTCTCTACTGGAAAGCAGTGATAAGCAGAGAAATGTGAGCTACTTTCTGATGCTCTTCCTTTCTGGTCTCATAATATCATTTCAAAGTCATTGTCCTTGTCGACAGATAAGCGTAAGCAGGTTGGTTCACCTGCATACACAGCTGTTCACGTAGTCAATTTCATCAAGCGATAAAAAAGTCCTCGGGTTTCATCAGGCTTGTCAGGATATACATTTTCTCGATGCATTCTATGGCCTCTCAGAAACCCCTCCTGAGAACAAATTGACATCACCGCGAGACAACAGGTCTGCCAGCGTGACACCTGAAACAACGTCATACTTCGCTACAGAAATCTCCGCCTCCTGTACCCCAAAAGTCTCCAGCGACGGCCCACATACAAAAAAGTTCGCACCGAGTTCCTCTAGCATCTCAATCGCATCTTTCGGTAACAGCCTTCCTTGCCTCTTCAACGCCATGTCAACTTTGTTGGTTCGAAAACGGCCAAAGATACCTGGGCATCGAGCTCGATAGCCAGTCTGCAATAACCGGACTCCAGTTCCATCAAAGAACAAGCTGACGTCCATCCCCAGTACACATCCACCAACGGCTTTCTCCAACACGCCTACAACCGCCCCCAAATTTGCCGTCGACATCACAGCAACCATTTTCTTGGATCTGCTTCTCTCTTGTCCTTTCTGCATAATAAAATGAATATCTTCATCTTCGCTGGTGTGTTCACTGGTAACTAGTTGATTGCCTGTCCTTTCGCACCAGAGACATATATCGCGAAACAGTCCTTTGTTGTTCTTGGTGGCCAACTCGATCATATCTTCTGGATTCAGTGGGCTTAACTTCTGGAGGAGGAGAGCGAGGATCGTCGGCGATGAAGTGCTATGCCTTGCATCGACGAAGATCGGGCGTGTGGCTTCAAATTCCATGACTTTGCCGACCATGAAAGCGGCTTGTGTCGTGTTTGTGGAGTCTGTAATGGATGGCTAAGAGTGTATGTGACTTGAAGTGTTGTAGTGAGTCTGATGAATTATTGTGATGATCTCCGCAAATTATAGTTTTACTTTGGGTCTAAAGTATTGCGGCCGTGGTTTGTTATTTGAACTGCTGTGTAGGACATGTGATGTAATCAAGCAACAGACAAGATTGAAGTGAGTGGTCTCACAGGAGTTCTGGCTGAGCCTCGTGCTTCATGGGCTGGCCTATGACTGGCTAGATGTTCATTATTATCGAGCGTGCCAGGTGAGCCTAAGGACTTGGCAATTGGCGTCCAGATGGGACAATCAATAGGCGATTATCAGACCACATTTAGGTCACATGATCTTGTTTCATCCCACACTTTTGTTTACCTCAGGCACTCCGGCCATAGGTCGAGACTATTCCTAATACGGTTACTGCGGGTGAACTGCAAGCCACATGTGGACCTCGACCAAATGGCCTGAGGATCCTGTCCAGATTTTTGGGCTTGTGCGGAGTTTTTTCCCACGAAATGGACCCCATCTTAAAACTCATTTTCAACCATAACCACAAGGTGTTCAGTCAATTAAATAGAATCATTCGATTCGCCCGTTTCCACTGTACAACTGAGTGAATTTTGGGCCATATCAGCACGAGATTTGTGTCGTCAGAGTGCGCAGTTTAACTAGGTTATCTTTTCAACCCACCTAACCCGTCCAAAGTATAAGTACACTCCTACTAATTGCTTAAGATTCTGGAGTGGACGAGGTCACGACGCATCAGAGTTTTCTACAATATACAGGCATAGGGGCGGGACAAAAAATAGATGCCTAGATAGAGCATACCTTTATGCACAGCCTAGTGAAATTGAGGACTAGTACAATGCGCATTGATGTGGCTATTGATGGATTCGCAAAGACCTGGTCTCCAGAATCGCGAAAAAAAGGTACAAAATAACCGCAGAGCAGTGTGCGTGTCGGACAGGATCCTGAGGCCGTTTGCTCGAGGAGTGTCCCAAGTAACGTGATCAAATCTTAATGGCACTAAACTCCTCTTGAAAATGGCCTGAGTGCCTGAGGTAAACTTTTGTTATCAAAGCAGGTCACGGGTCAGATCACCAATCATTCTGGTAAATTGGTAGCGGAAGAGTTACTGTTCTAAGACTGTAGTTACAGATGCTTATATGCAATCTACAAGCAATAGGCAACACTAGGCAGCTGTAGGCAACAAAGTAGTCAATGGAGTCATCCAGCCCGTGACTCAACACGTGCCTAATATGCCAAGGAGGTCAAAACAGCTCACCGTATTCTAACAACTTGGGAGCTGAGACATGAACCTCTGCCCGTCGACACAGTCACATACGATGACAACAACACACAAACCTGCATCGACCTCTGCTACGGTACACAAGACCTAGTAGATAGAGTTGTCAAATGCGGAGTACACTACGAGATGGACCATAACTCAGACCACCTTCCAATCACAACGATTCTGGACCTCCGAGTAATACAAAGACAGCAGGCAGAAACGCGTGACTGGTCTAGTATCGATGCGAAGGGGCTCCGAGCAAAACTCGCATTAGAATTAACCACACCCCGTTGTCCCAAATCAAGACACGCCCTAGACAGATATGTCGGGGAGGTGACGAAAGCGATACAGTCAGCGATCGAACACGCCGCGCCCTGAAAAGACGGTCCCCAAGAGCGAAAGCCGGCTTGACCTCTAAATGCAAAGAAACACAAGCCGCGGGGCGAAGACTGAAGCCCCGGAACGCCCGACTTCACACAGAAGAGAGCTGGGAGGCCTACCGCGTAGCTCGAAACCAGAAGGGAAGAGTGATCCGCAAAGCCTTACTACAAGGTCACCGAGACCAAGTCGAGAGCGCCATGAAGAGCCCAGAGAGTTTGTGGAAGCTGGCAAGGTGGGCAAAAAACCGAGGGGAAGTGGCACCGACAACGACCCCGATATTGAAGGACCCAACAACAAACACCGAGTATGTGGAGCCACGAGACAAGGCACGACTCTTCAAGGCAACCTTCTTCCCGCCACCCCCAGAACCAGATCTCCAGGATATCCGGGGAGCCGAATACCGAGGTCAAATCCCATTTCCGGATATCACAGAGAGGGAAGTACTCCAAGCAATTGCCGCTACGCCCCCAAAGAAAGCTCCAGGACCAGACGGTATTATAAACAGAATCCTCCATGTCATCGCCGCCTAGCTAGCCCCGCATCTCACAAGGATAGACAACTGGAGCCTACGATTAGGGTACTGCCCAGCACACTTTCGACAGTCCACCACTATCGCCCTCAGGAAGCCAGGCAAGGATGACTACGCTGTGCCCAAGGCGTATCGTCCGATAGCTCTACTAAACACATTTAGCAAGCTCATGGACTCGATCATTGCAAGAAGAATCAGCTACGTAACCGAGGTGCATCAACTGCTGCCAAGTACACACATTGGAGGGCGCAAGGGAAGATCGGTAGACCATGCACTACACACCATTATCGAGAAGATATACGAGGCTTGGAATTCGCCGGAGCCACAAGTGGCAAGCCTCCTCCTACTCGACGTCTCTGGGGCTTTTGACAATGTCTCACGTGCCAGACTACTTCACAACCTTCGCAAACGCAAAATAGATGAAAGAACGGTCAGATGGATCGCCAGTTTCCTTACAGATAGGAGCACGGTTATCGGCTTCGATGCGTTCAAGTCAGAGGGTACCGATTCGTGTGGCAACGCCGTATGACACATCGCCTTACGGCCGCTATTGAGCCGATAGTAATTGCTCATCATATAAAAAAGAACTCGGAAACTCAGATTAATTCGCTTTATTACTTTCAAAAGCGAAAAGAAGTCAATGGCGGTGCTGTGATGTGGCGTTACTAGTATGCTATAAAAGAAGGCTCTCTGCATATTGGGCCGGCGGCGACGATGGGAAGGTAATTTTCCAGGTAGCTAAGATAAGATGAGGAGGCGGTGAGTACGAGTGCGTTGGAGTTAGTTAGGGTCGGGAGTAGGAGGGATGGGGAGGCTGATGGGGTGGAGCCGGATCATAATAGGAGGCATGGTCATGGGAATTGGGTTTGAGCGAGTTTAGCGAGCTGTGTGTTTACCTCCTGATGGCGTGCGCTTCTGTATTTCTAGCTACGCGTGAAAGCCGTGTTAAAATATCATTAAAGACTTACGACATTTATGTTCAAGGGACTTGTGTGGTTGGTTCTTGTGATGTTTACTTCTGGATTGGTATGGTCTCTTAGTATTCTCATCTCATGATTGATGCTTACTCAGGCCTAGCTCCTGACATGTGGACTGACATGAAGATCCACACATGGGCATCAAGATCAACATATCACATTCGAAAAAACGTTGAGATCTTCTTTTCAAAAAAAGCGAAATACAAGCATCTCATTCAAATCAAGCAATTACATTTTCCAATTTCCAATTCCTCCCCCCCCCCCCCCCCCCCCGGCCCACCCTCCCGGCCCACAACTCCAAGTTCGATGCCCCCATGTCCACCCACCCTCTCAAGCAGCACACTCACAATCATCATGCTTACAAGCCTTCTTCTTACACCCCTCCTCTTCTTTCGCCACACACTTACACTCCCCCTTTCCCCCTTTTTTCCTCCCAGCACACTTATGTCCCCTATGACTATGCGGCTGCGCCTTAACCCTTACGACCAAGTTCTCGCCCGTCTGGCCCACAGCATGGACAAGACAATCCTCTCCATACGGCCACTCACCGACAAAATCAGCCTTGACATCGTACTCGGCGAAACTGTCTTTCGTGACTTCGTCGTCGAGGAGTGTGGTCAACGCAGCGGTGAAAGCGAGGCCTCGCGTCGGGAACGTGCCTTCGACTTGCGTGAGTTGAGAGGAGCCGGTGCGGTCGGTGTTGTAGTTTATTGTGGTTTGGAGGACTGTTTTGTTGATTTTTAGTATAAGTACAAGTACTGGTACTGGTATCTTTCCTGAGGACTGGATCCCTGGATTATATCTCCAAGTTCCTAGCTCTAGTTCCAAGGAAAAGGAAAAGTACAATGCAGGAGATAGGACATTAAAGGAAAGCAGACATACCATAATGCAAAAAACCTTCCACCTCGCCCTGAGCATTACCCTTGAATCCCGCAGCGTTGACCTCAGTTTCCAAACCGACCTCGAATTGCTGTCCCGCTGGCGCTTTGGCGAAGACCAACACGCCGTCGCCGCGCTTCCATTCTTCGGCGGCCGGGATTTCGCTCTTCTGCTCGTAGAGCTCGAAATCGGATTTTAGGTAGCCTTCGGACTGTTGAGTGGGTTGGGCGGATTAGCTTTGTCTTCTGCTTGCCAGCTGTTGGGAGGGAAGTTGAATTGCGATCCATGTGATGATGTGGAAAAGGATGAGGTGGCTGATGGTAGGTTTGAGATTGATGGGGAATTTGAGATGGGAAGAGAAGAGGGGAGTTGATTAACTTACAGCGAGCCCAGCATTGGCAGCTGCTTTCGCAGCAGCGAGATCCGTGAAAGTACCTAGGATATCGACATCACGAGTCGCTCCAGAGGGATCTTCATCGAATCTGATGATGGTGCGTATGACGTGGTAGAGAAGATCGGACATGATCCTCGTTGGTTTATTGGCTCGTTAAAGAAAAGTGCTTGGTGCTTGGTACTTGGTTGCAATTGTAAGTACGTACGTGTTGACTTTGGTTGGTAGCGAACTGTTGTTTGAGATTTTGTCGGGAGAAAGATGGAACGGAAGGCTTGGAGGGAATGCATGATCTATATACCCATTCCATTCCGCCTCTCCCGTTTGTCATCTGTTTGCACACATGCATGCATGCTATCACCAGTTACCAGTCCATTAACTAGGTAAGTTAAGCCAAAGTCAAAGCAAGAGCAAGGCAAGGCAAGCAAGTGCCCGTATCTGAGCAGTTAGTCCACCTTGCCAGTCATTCCGAACACCACGTGATGTTCACCAAACCTGAGGGTCGAACGACCATGAGCTGATCATCATCAACGCATCTGGCAATTCACAACAACCCACATACCGTAGACAATTTGCAGACGTGCAACTTTGCGTCACTCGACGCTTCGTGATGTTCGCGGCGCGCGGCGTGCAGCGTGGTTCGATGCTGCGAATTCTGCCGAGAGATTCTGGGGTGATGTGTTAGTGGGGCGTGGGTCGATTCCCCGGATCTCCTGATGGGAGAGGGGAGATAGGGTAAATCTACGAGTGCGTCCCGCAGACATCAGGGAGAAGGAAACCAAAAATCGCATTTCTGATAACAGTGAGACCCTCGTGTAGTACTTGGCGGCGGAACAAACGCATAACAGAAATCTCTTAAAGAGACAATAATTTCGTCTAACGAGGTCTCCACACGTCAGCGAAACCAACCCAGCCAAAATAAAACAAAACCATGTCACCATTCACACAACTCCAAACCGCGCTGGGGCACAACCACGGCTACGGCAACGGGATCGACAAAGACTTCTCACCGATCCTACACTACATCGACGAATTCGACCGACACTTCTCACGTCGTCACCGCTTCATGAACTGTTTCATCCCGCGCTTCGACCTCGAGGAAGACAATCGGAATTATTACCTGTATGGTGATATTCCCGGCGCGACGGCGAGTGAGATTACAGTTGAGGCCAATGATGACCATACGCTGGTCGTGTATGGGAATACTAAGAGGCCCGGACCGGAAAGGGAGGGCGAGGTGAAGGGGGAGGGAGTATCGAATCCGACTCCTGGATTTCAGGCTGCTTCGGTGCGGGAACAGGAACAACAAACTTTCGAACCATCACCACCAACCCAACCAGCACCAGCACCAGCACACACGCATCACCAGCGACACCTGACCTCCAACTCCGACCCAAACCCCAACCCAACCACCAACCACGTAATCCTCCTCTCCGAGCGCCTCACCGGAGACTTCCACCGCACATTTGCCTTCCCCTGTGCCGTCGACGAGAAAGGCGTGAAAGCTAGTATGGAAAACGGGGTGCTGAGTGTTGTAGTTCCGAAGAGGGATGTAGTGGAGAGGAAGAAGAAGGGGATTAAGATTCCGGTTTTGAAGGGTGGGTGGTGGAGGGCGGAGAATGGATTGCATGGGGAGAATGAGGTGCGGGGAAGGATGGCGACGAGGGTTGGGGGTGTGGGTATGGACCAGGGGAATGCAGTGGCGTTTCGGGGCGATGCGGTCTGAGGGATTGGAGTGCTGGTGAGTGTGCGTCTGTGAGAGCCTCTGAAAGGATGTTTCAAAGTATGGTTTGAAAGAGAGGGTCTGTGATTTCTGTTTGGGTAATTTAGTGGAATGGTAATAGGGCAGGAGCTGACTTGTGAGATTCACTTTCTATTTTTCTCCTTTGAGAACAAGCCATAATATCCGATTGGAGCTTTCGGCGCATGTATCCTAGTCTTACAGTACCTCCTGAACAAACTTCCATATCGACTGAGTTTATATGCCATCCCATTGCTTGATCTTAACCAGCCCACCTTCCGTGATATATCAATAAAATAGAGATAAAAGAAATACATTATATTAAGAGGTCCATATAGTATTAACCAAAATAAACTACTTTTATGTAAGATCCCAATTCCTTGCGTAGCCGCTGGTTGTCGGCCTCCAAGTTCGAGACCGAGGACTTGAGCTCTTCGACAGAGGCGAGGATTGAGGAGAGAAGCTCGGTAGATATCTGAACCGTGGAAGCTTGAACAGGTGCTTCCGGCATTCTGACAATGAGGTCCAACATTCATATGAAAGCGGACAGGTCTTCGAGGAACAAGCTCCTGTGTTGATTCTCCGTTGGGACGTTGGAGTGAGACCTGGAACAGGAGACAGGAGATGTGGGTCGCGTCTGAACTCGCGCTAGAACACGAGATGAGACGGCACCAAGTGATAGAGTACGTGGGTACAAAAATGGAAATCAACAAAAATTTTGAGCGAAGGCATCACTTCAGATGCTAGATATCGACATCTGAGTAACAAATTATTCATTATATTCCTACCATTTCCTCATGGAATTGTGCAATCCAAAGTCACCCGCTTCCAAACCCAAATCAAGAACGCCCGCTTCGCCAAATTCCCAACCTAACTTCCTCGAGAACTTTCTTCCCTATCCCAACGTTCCCAACCTCTGCTGCTCAGCCCTCAGTTGTCTCACGATCCCATCAGCCCATTCATCCATGGCCTCCCAGTTCCTCTTATCCTCGAACTTGAGCCCGAAGCAGTGGAAGAAAAGTTTGAGACAGCCTCCCACGTCCTTCTCCTGGTACGCTCCATAGAACAGCTTGTGTCCTTCAAGTACAATTTGTTTTGATAGCCAGTCTTTCATTTGCTTCTCCTCTCCCTCAAATTGGCTTTGTGGAGGCATCCCGACGCTGAATGCCCATGTGGGCTTTGGGTTGTCGCGGAGTGCTGTCGTGTTGTTCTTGACGAATTTCTTTCCTTTTCTCATCCAGCTCCCAGCATGGATGCAAGAGCCAATAATGATGGCATCTACATCGGCTCGGTTAGCACAGTTCATCGTTGAAGCAGAAGCTTCGAAATTTCGATGTGAAGAGGTTTCCTTAGGCACAGAAGTCTAGCTCTAGCCACTTACCGAAGTCATCGACCGATGCTTTCGTCTCCACGGGTTCGAGGGTGATGCTGCTGAAATCTGCTGCAGCTATTCTCGCCTGGATACGCTCTGCAATGGAACGTGTACTCCCACTTGTCGTTGCGTATGTAATGAGAATCTTCATTTCGTCTCTTCTGAATCGATTGTGACGAGTTTTGAATTTTGTATTTTGTATTTTGAATTGTGTATTTGGTTTTGCGAAGAGGAAGTCAGCGATGGTGTTTTACCTCCAGCTGCTTCTTAAATATCCATGATCATGGTGATTTTGTGGGGAGATTGTGGTGTTGAGCGTGACCCCCGGTTTGGCCTTCACATCACACCACTGTGATGGGACCATGGTGTGGCGAGCCTTTTACCCCAGGAAAACTCCTTGCGGGTGAACCACTTCCTGAGAAACACGCTAGTGAACCAGTGGAGTGATCTCAACTAAAATTTTCAAGTCATTGACTGATAGATTAGCGGCGGCCAAGTGCGCTGCTTTGACTGTTGATTAAGAGGGCAACTCCAAGTCCTCGGCCATTGGCAGCTTTCGCGTACTGTGTATAGTCATGAACATTTATTTTCAGCCTCGCACTCGAAAGCTAAAGTAACAACGAACATCAGCATCTTTTGAGTTTAAGAGAATGGAGAAGTGTCCAAGTGATCATTTTCGGGGTTTCCGGGGTATCTTTCCGCACACTGCCAAACTAGGTCGAATCGCCCGCTGGCTCAACCGCGAAAGACTATTTAACACTACCCAACGCATCGACAAATCCAACGACTTAAACACGATTCCCCCACTTTGTACTTAATATTCAATGGCACCGCTTATGTCCTTCCTCCTTGCCTTTCGTATACCGAGAGAGAATACCCATATCCCAAAAGACACTCGCTTCATGGATTTGCATACCATCAATCCCTCCCTCGCCCTGCTTGAAACGTCAGTGATGAGCACTCTTTCATCCCCAGAATTCTGTTAAAAGCTCGATACCCGCCCCTAAACAAGATATTACTCGAAATTAGAGGGCAAGGATGTACCGACCTCAGCTGGTCCGATCGTAATAACACAGAACATCGGAGACACAATATCCGTCCTATCCCCCTTCAACCTAAAATGCCTCACCAGCTCTCCATACACAACAACATGGCCCTCAGCTTCCGGTATCACTCTCACTTCCACAATCTCATGTGTGACCGAATCGAAAGGTGGGAACAATCGCTTCATCCACTCCCAGATATGCGAGCCTGAGAGGTAGACATCGCCTTTGGTATCATGGAAAACGGCGTTGGGAGAGAAGAACGTGGTACAGGGTGTGCTTTTCAGTCTGCTTGCATCTAGCGTGTCAATATATCGCTCAAAGAATCTCAGACTTTGATATTGTCGCGAATGAGAATCCCATGGTCCACGGTGTGTTACAAGCGATGTTGCAGAGGTGGAAGTGGACTGTGTTCTGATCAGAGGCATCGTTTCTGTTTCAACGACGTCTGAAATTGCAAGCTCAAGATTGCGGCTCGATTGTTGTAGTAAGTTCACTTACTCACAGTCGCCATACTCTCGATGTTCACCGACACTCATTTGCTTTGTTATGCCGAACTGCAGCGCCGGTGGAGCCGGGGGAGCTTCAGGTCACGAATCACAGCTTCGCGGCCACAAATGCATGTTGATTACAACACAAATATGAGCCGCCGCACAAGGTCGACCTTTAAATACAACACGCCCAGATTGCATCCGACTATGGTTGGGAGAGATAGCTGTGACGGAGTTGTCGCTGCGCGTATTCTCGCGAGTCACGACAAACCAACAGTGCGTAAGAAGTCAAGTAGCAGTACATGATGCCGTCTTGGGGGTTGAGAAGTGTGAGGGTATCGTCGTCGAAGATTCGTCGTTGAAAAAAAGATTCCTCCCAAATCTGATGTTGAAGCTCGTTGGCCAAGAGAGAAAAGGTAGCAACATCTTTTTTCTTTCCTTGCAAGTCTTGTCGCCAAGTTCGAGGACTAATTTCCATATCTAGCCAAGGTCTATTAACTACTAGTTGATACAATTATAATGGCGGCTACTTGACGGCCACTTGACGGCCAATGCTTGTTCAGCTGTGTCAAGATAGTTGCAGATGTCAAGTCCAGAGGAGCTGACAAGTGACAGAGGATACGGGCTTAGGAGTGTGGACTTCCATGAAAGGTTTGCTGATCTCCAAAGGGTGATTGTGACCGACCGACACTTGAACTTGCACGGAGGAGTTCTCCGGAATAAATGGACCGAAGAGAAGTGGAAAGAAGAGTCAAGTGCAAATCAGAACGACTGGGGCCGGGGCTGTGGGGCTGTGGGGCTGTGGAGAAGCTTTTTAAGAAAAAAGGCCTGGGATTCAGAGATCGTCAGATAAGCCCGAGACGGACAAGGACAAGAAAAGATACATTGCAAGCTTCTAAACATGTCCCTCGCCGGGGGATCCGGTGACTTACTAGTCACCACCAGCTCACCCCAGGACAATTGTGAGAGAGGGGGAAGCGGGCGAAGTGATCATTAAGGGGCGAGGGGTAGGGATAGATCTCTCAAGGTAGCAGGCAAGCGATATAATGTTGGTGGCCGATTGAAAACAATGTTTGACTTGGAAAAAATTGCAGTGGAACGATATATTGATGATTCGACAAAAGTTGATGGCATGAATAACTTCCCTGAAGGCCCTGACGTACGCCTCGTCGCGTCATGTCTTGTGTGCATAGTGTCTGGAGTCGTATCAGCGCCATGGATCCATTTCCAAGGCTTGCCCTTTGGAGTATGCCAGCAAGCGCAAGTAGTCCACGGTGTCCGCTTCCCGGCCCCCCTCGACCCTATCGTCGCTGCTAACATCACGATCGCTGTAGCTCAATCTACCATCGAAATGGCTGATCAAAGGCTCAATTCTCTGCGACGCAAAAAACCTCTGGAGCCGAAATTGAGAGTGCAACCAAGAAGGTTAGACGTTGGCACTGATCTGGTGTTCGCTCACTGTCAGTCAAGCCGAGTTTATCCTCGCGTCAGCCATAAGCCACAAACTTGGTAACGTCCATCCCTGCGTGCCGGAAAAACCTGCATGCCGGAAAAAAATGATAGGTACTTTCACTTTAAGCATCTTAAAATCCATGCACACCTTAATACCCCTAATAATGTTTTAAAGTTATATTCTGTGGCCACACCCGGACACCCAAAACCCCTCCTACTAGAACATCATGTTGTTATTGTCGCCCTCGTGCCTGATTTGCAAAGAATCTTTTTTCATAGCGTAACAGAGTCCCTCTACTACAGCTCTACTACCGAGCTCTTACTACCCCTAATACGTGATCAATGGGTCTTATCCGAGCTCTAATGCCTTATTACTATGCCGGGAATCGTCATTAGCCTTGTGGCTGATATGGCGCGCAATTTTCTGCATGATCGCCACACGGATCTGTACTTCGGAGTGAAGCGAATGACGATTGTGGTTAGTGCAAACCGGCCCCTCAATATTTACGCCGTAATTTACAGTAAAATTGTGAAGCCTTAGGCATAAAGGCCAACCGTGGCTGAAGGTACTTGTGATGGCTGGTGCAACAGGTATGGTGGGGCTTGAATAAGGCTCCAGGCTGAAACTCAAGCACATTATTTTTTTATACTGAAGCCTCAGCCGCAATCTCCTCATCAACACCGAAACACCTTCCTTTCGAGACTCCCTTTATTTTATATTCAATATCATTGACTGTCAATATTTCACCATCACCATTGCCTACCGAGAGTCACAATCGAGTCATCATGCGCCGGATTCTCGAGAAACGCGCGCTGTACAGCGAACGTGTCCGAGAGAACCTCTCTCTACGCAACCTTCTTGAATGTATTGCCATGCTTTGCTTCATGCTGGCGCCTTGCCTATGGTGGCTATCGCACATTATAACAACAAATGCCAGGGGTCAAATTGTTCCTTTTTGTGGTACCATTCTGTTCATACTGGCATTAGCTTGGTATTTTGTGAGTGTAAGATTCGAAGAGCTCTGGGATCTTTTTGCGTTGGTCACGTTAAGCTGTGTGGCACCCTTCATCTACTTTTTGGACATTATTAGATCACTTATCAGTTCGATGCGTTGGGGATTCTTCGTTTTGAGTCCTCCAAGATATCGGAGGATCATACCATCTACTTGCACAGCCAACTGTTGGCATTATGGTTTCCGACTCTGCAAGAAGTGCGACCATGTGTTAAAAAGTTCTTCTCTACTCATTGGCACAAGGTGGTTGATCGCTCGTTCAGTCGAGAGACATGCACATCTTACAGAATCACAACTTCGAATCTCTGTTATAGAGTGCCACTTGTGCAGCATCTTGCTGCAGTCAGTACGTGATGACGAGGGACAGTTCGAAAGGAATAAATCGACACTTATAGCTTCAAATCCTGCGGACGTGTGCATTGTCAAAATCTGGCAGGAATGGGATAGAAAGTCGGGTAGTTGGATATGCTTCCTCCAGCTGCGGGGGTCATCTAGGTTTGGCAGTCCCCTTGTCGTTGTCGAAACAAATCAATGTAGATTTATACGGATCTAGAATGCGGAATCCAATGCTAACATTGTTCGTAGCCAATTCCCACGAGTGCAATCTACGATACAACACCAGTTCACAAGATGTATTTAGGCTTGCTAAGGAATGGATCCATGCCTGCAACAACCATCCCATGTGCCAGAATAACTTTGTTTCGACCAGTAGACGAAGGATCTCTCCCGATCGCTTGGTGATGCTCGAACATGGGATCGATAAACCAAAGTTGCGGCTGATTGATACCGACTCAGAACGCCAGCTTGAATACGCCGCATTAAGTCATTGTTGGGGGGGCGCCGAAATCTTCAAACTCTTATCCAGCAATGAAGTGCAAGTGAGGGATTCGATCAAGTTCGAACTTCTAGCTCTGAACTTTCAAGACGCCATTGAAGCTACATTGAAGATCGGGCTGCAATATGGATTGATTCACTTTGTATCATCCAGGACAGTCACGATGACTGGACCATCCAAGCCGCGAAGATGGGGCAGTATTATGCAAACGCAGCATGTGTTCTATCTGCGACAGCATCTGAGTCTCCGAATGGTGGCTGCTTCTATCCAAAAGATCCTTTCATTAATGACTGTGTACTGCGTTCGGATGGTAACGCATCTCTCGTGGTCCAGTCATGGATGAGAAATCAATCTCTTGACACCCTCTTTACTCGCGAAGTAGAAGCTGCTCCTCTGACCACGAGGGGCTGGACATTTCAAGAAAGAGTACTCTCTAAATGTATTGTACATTTCTGTAAAGGCTTGGTTTTCTTTGAATGCAATACCATGCGCGCTTCAGAATACCACGACAAAGGGGAACTTTACTCTCGCAGAACTAATGTACGCCAAGATGGGAGGCTGCACGCATCTGTCGTCATAGAAGGGCTTCTGGTGAAAGATGATCATTATCAGAGACGAAACGTCACGAGAGTGATTAGGGGAGTTTCAACAAGACCAATCAGTCGACCAGCGAAAAACACCATTCGTGTTGAGACAAAAGTAGCCATCAACCGTAACTATAAGTCACTATCCGAGAAAATGGACGAGTTGTCGCGTCTTTCGGCTCTGACCGGAGTGAGGGGAGCCTTTCAACTTGTCCTACGCTCTTCGGGATCAGCCATGGCAGAAAAGATGGAGTGCCATCAGTGTTGGTACGAGGTGGTGGAACAGTATTCGGGGCGAGCTCTTACACGACATACAGATAAACTTACGGCTCTTGCTGGAATCGGAGATCTAGTTCAGGACCGCGGAGGTCATAAATTCGTCGCTGGGCTCTGGATGCAAAATCTCCCTTTGAATCTTCTCTGGACTAGGCATGATTCAAATCCGCCACCGAGAGATCGGCCAATGAGAAACTTGCCAACTTGGTCATGGGCATCGATTGATGGAGTGATATCCCACAGATTGAAGTGGGCACCATCATACAACCTGGACCAAGGGGACACAGGAGCAGTTGAGAGGTTCAAAACATCCTGGGAACATATCTCAATTCTCATATCGGACGAAGAGACTGAAGTTCCAGTGATCGTCGGCAGCCTCATTCACAACGCTTGCCTGAGAATCACTGGTTCTCTCTTCAATTTCTCCACCGTCGACACTGAATTCATCCCAGACGTTGACACAAGCTCCACCGCTAGCGAATTGCTTGGCTTGCCGATTCTCCAATTCAAAAATATCCAAGTTGAACCAATTGGAAGCAATGCTCAGGTCCACGGAATTGTGCTACGTCGTCTTCCTGACAAAGTGGCTACTTTCGAGAGAGTTGGGTACTTCTGGGCGGCAGAAGATGAAGTTGTCAAGAAAGTCTCGGAAGCGATGCATTCAAAATGCGGGATTCGACTTGTTTAAGACTATTGAGCCAGCGCTAACTCGGTGGGAAGAGTACATTTGTACTCGATGTTCATGCCGTGTAGCAAAGAGAGATACTATACTGTAACGACCTACAGAGGAAGTATTAATTACGCTTCTGACCACGTTTTCCCTTGTCTTTCATGGCATCTTTCTGAGCACGCGTTGCTTGTGCCTCCTCAATGTCCTCATAACTCTCCCAGATTCGGAGCACGCATACAACGTAAGGCATTACCTCCGTACCTTATATGGAAATGGGGATAGGGATTGGAAGGACTGAGTGGCAACTTCTCCAGAACTGCGAAACGTGGCTGCCTGTGGAAACTTCTAGAAGCACGCCACACTGCGCCACACTTCCACGTGATATAAATAAAAATGCGTAATCAAAATACGATTCACGTGGCTGTGAATACAATACTAGGTAATGGCAATAAATCCTTCCTCGCTTATTAAGATGCGGGCATTTTGTATACCACCCACTTTTGTCCGGATAAATTCGGCAGGCAGGTTTCCTTTTACTGTATATCTTCAAACTTTAGAATTAGATTTGAACTTAATAGAAGCTCTAGACTACGGCACCGAATTCCGGGGATAGATTAATTGTCATAATAGAGTGTGAAGGCCCGGATACTTAGGATTCAGGGGAGACGCTAAGCAAATAGGTCGAAGCCCTGAAAGAAGTAGAATGCCTATATACGAGGATCTAAAGCTAAGGAGAGAAGGCCGTTCTTGAGGGTATACAAGGTGTAAAGGTAGTGGTAACTACTTCTTTACTATACCCGATTAGGAAGAGTCTAGAGCTCGGCAAAGCTCGGTAAGACTCGGTAGAGCTCGGTTAACTCTGAAGGGGTTTACCGACAGTTACCCACTTAGTTATACGCAAAGGGAAATAGCTCTACGCTACTATGGGAGTTTACGTCAAGTTTTACGTCAAGTGTAATTAGGCCTAATCGGGAATAGCCCGGGGAATTTGTCTATATAGGCTCGAGCGCCCTCCACGGAATCGAGGGCTCCTCAGCTTGATATTCGCGCTAATAGAGAGGTTATCACCTGATCCGTGGTTATTTCGCTCACGTGCTAGCTAACGCTAAACCGTGCTATTACATAGTAGCTTCTTATGCAACTGTAATTATGATATAGTAGTAATTCTAATCGATTGAAAAAGACCTTAAAACTTCATTTTTATTAAGATCTCTACTTTATTAACTCTTAGTGTATCTACTATTATACTATGATATTATCTTAATTAAAAGCACTAATTCCCTACGTCGCTAGAGTCTTAAAAGGTAAAACTCTACTAGAGTTTGATAACTTCTTTAAATAGGAGCTTAAGACTAAATAAGAGCTAGCTAGGGCTAGTGTTCTTTATCACGTTTTTACTGAAGTTAGCGTGCTGAATAGTGTTAATTAGCAGAATACTTATACTAAGGAAAAGAAGGAAGCTTTTAAAATAGTTATTAATTTAATCTCTAAGCTTCTCTTTCCTAAGTATAGAGATATTATTAAACTAAATAACGCTAAGCTTCTCTAAGAAGCTATTCACGCTAACAAAGGTAAAGTAGTTTAAGGGAGTCTTACTTTTACTAATATAAGAGACGATTTCTTTAAGATAAAGTTTATCCTAAGGGAGGAAATACTTCAGAACTATATTATAAGGCTCTTACTCTTTAAAGTAAAGCTTAGTAGCGATAGTAAACCTCTTACTAATAAGGATATACGTCTTAAGCTATTACAGTTATTACTAGCGTCCGGAGCTTAGATTACTATAGCGCTTACCTTAGAATCGTAAGACCTGGATCTTAGAGATACTATATAAAAGCTTAACGAATATCAAATTTAATAGAGGGAATAGCTTCGACTTATAGCTACTAGTAACGCTATAAACTACGCGAATAGAGGCTATAATAGAGGGAGAGGTAGTAGAGACAGTAGAGGCTAGAGGGGTAGAGGCTACTCACGTAGAAGAGGTAATATATATAAGAACAGGAGAGGATAGGAAAGACGGAATAATAATAGCAGGAGTAGTAGCTAATAAAGACGTAGAGGGCACGTGGAAAAGAGAGGAAATCGCCCTAAATTAGGCTGAAATTAGTATACTCGATATAAAGGCTATAGCTATTAGTACATAGACTGCACAGAAGCTAAGAATACCTACGCGAGAGATAACGCTAATAAAGTAGAGGAAATTAAAGATAATAATACTTATCCCGTGTTCCCTTCGGAAGAGATTTACTATACTAAAGACGTAGAATATACTTTATTAATAATCTCTATTATAGAATCTATCTGGAAAATCGACTCTAGTGTCACTTACTACTTTAGTAGAGTTCTAGCTAAGTTCAAGTAACTCAAGCGCTAGCGTAATACTAAATACGTTAAAACAGCGACTAATTCGTACTCGATAGCTAAAGGTTATAGAGATATTACTATTAATAGGTTAACCCTTAAAGACGTGTAGTACGTACCTAACTTCGGAGCTATAAAGCTAGTATCGATATATTAACTCTTAGACGAAGGAATTAATACGGAACTAACTAAGATATCAGCAAATAGATACCGGAATAGTGAACTAGCCTTTACAGGCATAAGAAACAGAGGTTTATATATTCTAGATACGAATCCTTGATATTAAGTTATATATAACGTAATTCCGTTAGACTTAAAGCTACTAAAGGAACGAATAAAGAGTTAGCCTAGCACAGAGGAAATAAAGGCAGATCTACTCTATAGGCGTTTAGGTTATATAAATTACGCCTATTTAAAGAAACTAGTTACTTACAGTAGTTACAGAATAAGATCGATTTCTATTCTAGAGCTAAAAAGAGAGAGGTATTACAAGGCTTACCTTATAAGCCGTATAAAAGAGTACTTTAATAAGAAGTTAGATAGTAGAACTAACGTACCTATTTATTAACTACACGCTAATATCTCTAGTATCTTACTACGCTTAATTCGCGGCTATAAATACTTCCTTTTAGTAGTAGATAATACCACGAGGATATATTAGGTAGATCTCTTAGTTAATAAGTCTGCGTTAACTATTTAACTAGTTATTCGGAAATTAAAGCTATAGCTTGAAACTTAAGGGTAAAGTAAATTCCGTATAATTATCTACTAGAGGACTAATAATAGGAAGGGAGAGTTCAGTCCTAAGTTTATTATCTAGCTGCAAGAGAGTGGAATTATTCCTGAACCCTCTCCTTTATATAAATACTCTCTGAATAAAGTTATAGAGCGATAGATATATAAACTAGCTAAGATTACACGCTTAATCTTCTATAACACGAAGATACCTAAGAATATATAGTACTATACTATTAAGTAGGCGGTAAAGCTAAAGAACAGACGCCTAACTACTACTTTACTATATAAAACAGCTACTAGACTCACTCTAATTAAAGCGTATAGAGGACAACCTATAAACCTCTCTAAAATAAAAGTATTTAGCTTTATAGTGTACCCTTTACATCTACCAGAGCTATATTAGAGCAAAATAAAGCAAAGGACGATTCCGGGGTGTTTCGTATTAGTAGGTATAGCTAATATCTTAACTTATAGGCTCCTAAACATAGAAACCTTTAAGGAACTGGAAATAGCCGACTATAGCTTTAATAAGTATATAATATACTCTATATATACTAGTAGTAAGGAAACTACACTAAAAGGCAGTGATAAGGCAGTAGAAAGACCTCTGCTACTAGCTACTAGTCCAGCACTTACTAAGAGGCCAGCTAGGGGTGCTAAAGGCTTGGAAAGACCTCCAGGAGAGAGGCTAGCTATAGAAGCTAAAAATCCTTTAAGGGGAAGGTTAGCTATAGAAAATATAGTAGGAGACACTAAGGGAGTATCTAATTAACGCCTCCCTGAATAGGCTCAACTAGTAAACGTATCTAATAATACTCCACTGTTAAGATATAGTAGGAAATAGCGTAGAAAATAACACTTCGAGTAAGCTACTTAAGTAATAACTACGAAGCTATACTCTTAGTAAATCCTTGATAAGGTATTAACCTATTAAATAGCGCTAATTACGCTGGAGGGTGAACTTATACAACCTCTTAAGGTTATAATTATCGCAGAGGCTCTAAGGGAGAATCTAGTAGAATAGAAGGCTGCTATTCTTAAGGAATTATAGGCTATATAAAGCGCTGGAACCTATAAAGTATACTTTAGTAAGCCTCCCTCCGGCTCGAAACTAATATCTTCAAGACTAGTTCTATATAATAAAATCAACTCTGATAGCTCTATAATACAGCGAAAAGCTAGGCTCGTAGTAAGAGGCTTTAAGTAAAAACACGGCCTTAACTACTTCGATACCTTTACGAGCGTTATACGCTATTCTATCTTATAAGTACTACTTACTATTACGACTAAAAGAGACCTAGAGATTAAGTATATCAATATTAACACTGCCTTCTTAAACGTATACCTAAAAGAAGATATATATATAATAATTCCGAATAACAAGACGCCGGAGATATAGAATAAGCTTTACTTAGAGCTAAATAGAAGGAAAGATATATATCTAAAGCTCCTACACTCTCTCTATAGCCTGAAATAAGTACCTAGGGAATAGTAGCTCCTTATTAAAGATAAGATAGAAAAGCTAGGTCTAGAAGCGTTAGAGGCTAACCCTAATCTCTTTATCTTTAAGAATAGAGTATATATATTAGTCTTTATTAACGATATACTGATTATAAGTAACTCTACTAACTGCGAATATCTCAAGAAACAGCTCTTAAAGACCTGGAAAAGTAAAGACCTCGGAGCTGTTAATATGTTTATAGGCCTATAAGTTAAGAGGGATAGGAAGAATAAGACTCTGCGGATTTATTAAACAGCTTATATATAAAAGCTACTAGAAAGGTTTGAAATAGCCGCAGCTGGAGGTAATACCTTACCTGTAGCCGCTAGAACAGTACTAAAGGAGTTAGCTAAAGATAAAGGTATTATACTAGCCTCCTCTAAAGAGATCTCACTATTTCAGTAGATTATCAGCTCTCTAATATACCTCTCGAACCTCATACGACTTAATATTACCTATATAATAGGCTAGCTAGCGCAGTATATATTAAATCCCCTTAAATCTTACCTCTAAGATACGAAACCTCTCCTCTAATATTTATAATATATAGAAGGTAACGGAATAACGTTTAGAATCGGAATAGAATACAGGGAAAAGCTAGACAACGATATATTCGATATTTAGACTAACGCTACATAGGGGACGGAATATAACAGGAAATTATTCTAAGGATAAATAGCAAGGTTCTACGGGGGTCTAATCTCTTAGGCTGCTAATAGGTAAAGGTCTATAGCTCTCTCTAGCTTAGATTCTAAGATAATAGCTACTAGTGATAGCTCCAGAGAAGTAGCCTAGTTACTTAAGCTATGGAAAAACCTTGATATAAAGCTATTCCGAATTCCTACGCTATATCTTAATAACGCTAGAGCTAAATCTCTCTTAAAAGAACAGAAATTCTATCTAAAGGTAAAGTATATTAATATCCGCTACTTCTATATTCGAGATAATATAGTTTTATATAATAAGTTAGTAGTAAAACATATTCTAGGTAATAATAATATAGCAGATACTCTTACGAAGGCTTTACCTTCAGAATCGTTTAAATAATATAAGACATATATAGAGTTACTTAGTAACAACTAATTCTCTGATAATAACTCTAAGATTAATAATAGTTAGCTAATTAACAGTAGACCTATATAAATCAAGGCTGTTTCTAGTAGTAGAACCTATAAAAAAATAGAATATTCTTCGCGGAAAATCAGTCCTTTAATAAATATCTTCCTTAATAATAATATATAACTACGAATTAAGTAAAATATAATATATAACTACTATACCTAATAGTTAAAACGAATCTTGTTCCGCGGTTAAAGGAAGAAAGAAAGGAAATAGAACTAGAAGAGGACGACCTTTATATACCTTAGAAGCTAGAGAGAAGGCTAGTAAGGAATATCTTAATAGCTATAAAAGGAAGGTACGAGGTAGCTATAAAGAAGGGTGAATAAGAGCGGCAGGAGTAGGAGATTATTAATAAGAGAGCGATTTAGGTGCACTCTTATACTGTTTTATATACCTTAATACTATAAAGTTACTGAACTCCTAGGAAAACAGGAGACGTAGGCACTATATACATGCTAGTATATTATAGGAGTTAATAAGGCACAATCGAGGCTCCTTATATAATACAAGTTATTAGTAATACTTCGGCGATACTCTGGCATCGCTTCGGGAATATTCAGCGCTGTACTACTTTAGAAGGCTCTATTTACTACAGATATAGAGAATAGGGGAGCTATTAGAAATATGGGGGTTGTAGGCGTAGACTTAGTACTGTAGGCCGTACTACTGAGTACGCTACCCCTTTATATAGGAGATTCTCTCTCTCTGTAGTAGCTTCTTATGCAACTGTAATTATGATATAGTTAAGCTCGGATGTCAGCATCCAGAAAATGCAGCCTAAAAGGGAAGCTTAACAAGACTTGACCAAGATGGGGATTCTCTTCGGGAACATATAACAAGTACTCTAGCTATCACTGGACACATCTTTCCTCTCAAGTCTCCAAATCCGCGATAGCGCTCATTCACAGAAGATCTCGACATCACGTTGAGACTCCCCGCCCCATACTCCGCACGGCCTCACCATTGGACGCCAAACAATTCTCCATCGTCCGCATCGACCCTTTGAACAACCCCTTTGGAGGCGTCGTCGGCGCAGACAGACCCGAATCCGAGCAAGCAGAAAGACTCAGATCGCAGGAAGAGTCCACGACAAGAGGCGAGAATGGCTTCATGGTCATCATATTGAAACCCTCGCAAACAGCACCAGACTCAGCAGAGATTCTCAAAGCCCATGATGGATGGCTGATTGGAATGAGCGGATACAACTTATTTGCTCTTAAAACAATAGGCGGGTTAGATGGTTATGTTGGAGATATTGGAGCTTTGGTTGATCATCGGTTCGCAAGGAAGGGGTATGCTCTCGATGCCCTTGAGGGTTTGATTGAGCATGGATTTGGAGAGATGGGGCTGGGCGGTATGTTCTTGGAGACGAACGCAGATAATGAGCCGTTCAAAAGATTGATGAGTCTCATGGAGCTAGATGATGTGCGCGAATACTGTCCAGACGACAAAGGGAGCTTCACGTATACATTTGGGAAAGGGAAGTGGGATGCTGCTAAAGCGGTCCTAAGAATGAAGGGTAAGTGGCTAATATAGATTAGGTACTACAATATCAGAGTGAAGACAGCACGTCCTCGAGAATCTGCTTTTTTCGTGCATTTCGCCCCAGCTTGGAGTACTGGACGCTTCTCGCCAACTGGCAGAATTATATCAAGATCTTTCCATACCGGAACAAAGTTACCAGACCTCTCTAGCCCGACCGAGATCCCCTCGTCTGTGGAGGTATACTTCAACGTAAACGTGGATACCTCGAGTTTGGCGGCGATACCATCATCCTCATACCAAGTGTATGAGAATTCGGAGGCCTCTGGTGCAGGAAAGATCTCTACTGCACGGTAGTCATCCTCCACGACATTAGGAGAAGGAAACCTATTGTCACCGGGTGACCGAGTCTGAAGATCCTTCCCGATGGCAATGCCCCCGCCAACTCGGGCAAGCAGCGGAATACTCTCTTTCCATTGCGAGTCGATGTCAACCCATTGCCCGCCTGTCAAATGTTGATGTGGTGCACTCAGGTTCAAGTATCCATGTTCATTCTTCGGCAGGTACATGCGAGCTGTCGTGTTCCCAGGCTCGTAGACACCGCCGACCATGATTGTGTCTCCCAGCCAGTACTGCGTTTCGCCAGCCATCACCTCGGGAGTCCAAACTTCTGGGTCCGACTCGTAGCCCCATCCAACCCATCTCTGGGGAGCCAGCGCCGTCGAGTGGCTCTCCAGCATGAGAGAGTAGAGATACGGAATCAGCTCGTACCGACGTTTGATGACATCACGGATAAGAGGGGTTATCTCTGGATACATCCATGGCTCAATTACACCGCCAATAGTGTTATCGTTCTCATCTGTCTTGAAACAATTGATAGCAAAGCGTGGAGAGTAAATTCCCAATTGCACCCAGCGAAGTAGCAACTCAGGGCTGGGCTGTGGCCCTTCAAACCCGCCGATATCATGACCATAGCACTAAAGAGTCAGCAACAACTACCAAGAGTGGAAAGTGAATTACCTGGAGCAAGCTAATTCCGGCATTCAGAGACAGAGAGTTAGCACCCTTCATCCCATCCCAGCTAGTCACATTGTCTCCAGCCCAAGAACTCGCGGCATATCGCATCGTTCCAGCCGTGGCAGATCTGGTCAGGACAAACGGACGAACATCTGGCTCCAAATCCACGAGAGCGTCGTATGAAGATTTGCCCATCAGCTCCGTGTGTAGACTTCGTCCCCACAAACCGATTTGATTTCCGTGCTCTGACGATCTGCCATCAAGTGCGCACTGCCAGTCGTCATCAGGAATGGTATACTCGTTGTTGTCGTTCCAGATGCCTTCAATTCCACACTTTCGAAGGGCCCTGACTCCTTCGTACCACCACTTGAACCCTGCCTCGGATGTGAAGTCAATATGTCCACCTTCTCCACTCTCCCCACCACCAGCACTCCAAAGTCGAGCAACACCCGACTTCTTCGTCCGTGGATCGGTGAAGAGCGCACCTGAAGCCACCAGCTTGGGATACTCTGGGTGATTGGCAAGTACATATGGCTTCACATTCGCAATGATGCGAATACCCTCCTCGTGGTACTTTGCTACAAACCCTTCAGGGTCAGGGAATCGGTGCCGATTCCAAGTGAAGACGTTCCGAGTCTTAGGTTCCGTCTCTGCTACTGTGTATCCAGACGACATCTGGAATGCGGAGCATGGGATATCATGTTTCTTTAGCTTCGCAGCAAAGTCCATAAGAGCATCCGAGGCTCGTGGCTCGTCCAGCATGGAGTATTTCATTCCACCGGCAATGTATCCAAACGCCCATCTTGGAACAAGCAACGGGTATCCAACCAGATCTGCGTATATCCTCACAACATCCTGGATTGTCTTCCCCACCATCAAATATTCTTCGAGTCCACCATAGTCTTGTCTGTAGACCTTGAAGTGCCCCCACAAGCCATCTATCTCTGATCCTACGGCGTATGTCCCCCGACTGTGCGATGTTGAGAATATGCCGACACATCCTTCGGGAGTTGCATTGATAAGGAGAGGAATATGTTTGTAGAGAGGATCCGTTCGATAGATATCGTAACCAAAGCAATCTGTAGCGGAAATGATGAAGTTTCGGTTCGACAGATTCATAGGCGCTGCTTTCTCCCCCAAGCCAGCATGCAGTGTATCCCGCTTGTATCTGGTATAATGGGCAATGCCTGTCGAGTCGGCCACGTAGGATCGAAAGTCGAGATCGCGGTGGATTGGGGCGGATTGTCCATCGAGTTGCAAAGACACAACAGGGGGACCACTCCAGTCCACTGTTGCTGTTACCCTACCAGCATTGATAATTTTGAGGCTTCCGGAAGACTTGGAACTCAATTTCACGCCCTCGAGATTCGGAGTCGGACGAGGAGTGCTTGGATGTAGGGGTAAAGGATGGCTCTTCGAGGAAAAGGTTGTTCGAAACAAGCCGGGACGAAGCGCTTGGAATGTGAACTGGAAAGGGGTATCTCCATCAGTAGATAGGAGACTCACGTCCGTGGACGGCGGACCATTTACATGTCCATTCTCTTGAACAACGGAATAATTTTGGGGAGTGAATTCGCGTTGCGGCATGATGACAGCTTAATGGAACTATAAGAAGAGACCAGAATTGGGTGAGGAGAGGAGAGGAGAAGAGAGGGATAGGATAAGTTTTATGGTCGGGATTGAAAGTTCAAGGATACACGCATCAACCTACGTTTTGTTATAGCTCGTCTGACTGGTGCTGGCAAAGAAAACCACGATCGGATACATCCCGAAGAATTGGTGATGTTGAGGGATCGAATGAGTTAAGCCCCCGCAGTAATCGGGAGCTGATATAGGCTAGTCGGCTTCTTTCCGAGTATCCACCTAATATCGGAACTTGCTGCATGGCCACTCGCTTATTTAGAGTCCTCCCCGGACTTTCTATTGTTTTGGGAGTGCCTGCGGGAGGCGGGGTACCCCCGCATACGAGTCAGGTCCTAGTAGCATCATCATCCAGCGACGTACTCGGTGAAGTATTAATTAAGGGCCGGGGCGGTCTAGAGCGGCAGAACGCCAAAATCCTGTAAATAAGTAAACGCGTAGAACTACCTTCACTTCTTAATATCTCTATTAATTCTTGTTACAATACTATAAAAGATACGCTATTTAAAAGGTCTTTATCTAAAGGCTCTAAAAACCGACTATAAAAAATAACTATTAGACTATCGCTAGTAAATCTGCTATATAGCTAGTCTTACGAGCTTAACTGAAGAAGCTAAGTATTAGAAAGATCAGAAGAACCCCCTAAGTACTAGAATAATACGAAAGATATATAAGAGGGTAGCGAAGAGGTAAGAGCTTAATAGATTATGAAATAGAAAAGGAAGGAAGGTTCTAAGGGATAAATCTTATAATAAAAACGTAGGTAAAAGAGGCCGGAAAGAGAAGCTCTTACTTAGACTGAAATAGTACCTTATTAATAAGGCTTCAAGCACTCGCGAGAATAGGAGGAAAACTATAAACTAGTATTATTCTGAATTCCTTATTTCCTATAATATCAAGATCTCTCTAGAGCTATTCCTTTAAGTAATATATAACACAGGGATTTATAAGAAGAAAGCTGAATTTAAGCTAAAGCTGATATAATACTATAAAGACAAACATGTAAAATAAGCTATAGAGCTTTAAAAGGTTCTAAAGGAGTTACTTAGTTCTATTACTTTTCTTAACGCCGCGTTAATTCGACTTAACGAAGATAAGAATAATACCTATTAGTAAAGGTAAAATAAGAGGTACTACAAAGACGTTAAAATCGATACTCTTAAGAATAATAATTACTCGTGCAATTAATTCTTTAGTATAATTACCTTCGGAGCAAGAAATAGTTTATATCGAGTCTTTAAGACGGAAATAATATAAGAGAAGGCTACGGCTAAGATTTATCTTTAATAACTTAATAGAAGTTAGTAAGACTAGTTAGAGGCTATATATATATAGTTACTTGCAGCATGTGCGAGAGATAGGAAATAAGCTAGAAAACGTTTAAGAGGCCTCTTACTAAGTTAAGAGGTATTTATATAGAACTATTACTTTAAAAGAACCGGTATAAAAGGAGGTGTTAATTAGTACCGGTTTATCTTCTACTATATTAATCTCTTAGTTCTTCTATAGTATCGAATACTAACGTAAGCTTATCTAGTGTTCAGAATAACTATAGATAACACTAGTTGATATACTTATAAGTCGACTATATATCTTTTAAAGGCCTAGGGAGTTATTATCTTTAAGTAGCCGGCATAATCCCCGGATTTAAATCTAATTAAGTATATATAGGACTATATACGGAAGTAATTAAAAAGGAAGTAATAGAACGGAACATATCTAAAGATAAATTTACAGATAATTCAGGCGTGGAAAGAGGAGTAGGCAAAGGTTCCTTAGGAGGAAATTAATAAGGTTATACTATATATAATCGAGATCTGCTAATGGATTATTAATTCTGTTGGTCTGCAGACCTTTACTATAGAGGTATAGGGGGAAATCAGGGGGTGCAGGTAATCCCGGTTAGGGAATGGACCTCTTTCGGATATAAACCGGGGGTTATTCGGAAGGTAGTATATATTCTGACCTGTAGATACTCTTTATAATATATACTTTTAAATACCTTTAAACTGAACCTTAGATTTTAACGTATATTAATATACACTTATTATTTATTTACTAGTACGATACTAACACTGATTAGTAGTTACCTTATACTACAGAATAGATAGGTTAAATGTAATAAAGTTGACTCTTAAGATATAACGCTGAATTAATATTAGCGGGCTCTTATTAAAACTAAGTAAAGTAAGCCTTGTAAAGTAACTAGAGAACTCTCATTGAAATTAAGTAAAGTGAGTTCTATATTACTAAAGAACGATAGCTACTCTCCGATAGTTGTTAAGATATTTCCAGAGCTATTTAGTTAGATATTTCTAGGATATAAAAGATATATCTAAAACACTTACAAATCGCCTCTAGTACAATAGTAACTCTAATAGACTAAGTTATAGAATAACCTGAAGTAGAAGTTAGAAGTAGTAGAACCTTAACGTAAGACGGAACACTAGCTCCTAGAGTACCTTCAGCTAGTCTTATAGTAGCTGATATTAATAATCTAGTTTAAGGATTTATAGACTATTCTATAAGGAAAAGTATTAGAGGAGAGATATTATTCTAGGACTTTTAGGAATATTTTCTAGATTAGATAGTAGATGATTTTAAAAAGATAACAGGTAAGTAACAATATAAGCTCTGAGACTATCTCTTAAAGAATCAGGTCTATATTTAATATTAAAAGAGATTATAGATTTCCTAAGCTCTCGTAATAGTAGTTTAAGTGTAAAAGAACACCTAGCTAGATAGGTAGGAAACTAAACTACTACTAGACTTACTATTCGGCCCTTTTTTAGATAAGATTTAGACTTGTAATTAAAGAGAGAACTAAGTACGATAAACGCTTTATTAGAACTCGCTTAATATATCATCTCTATCTGTAGAGATTATAGCCCCTAAGAATATAGAGATAAGGTATTAAGATAGCTAAGGGAGGATATAGATAGGCGATCCCTTAAGAGGATAAGTTTTATTTTAGTATCTAGACTCCTAAAGACCTTTATATGTTAAACCCTCTATAAAAGGTGAAGATTTCTATAGAGCCTCTCTCCCTATTAATATTAAGAGAGAGGAGTTATTTCCGATAAGATTAGAGAGATAGTATATTAATTAGCCTCTAGTATAGAGACTAAGGGACGATAGTTTACCAGATCTTACCCTAGCTCCCGTAATATACCTAAAGGATAAAATATTACCTCCTTTTTAGGTACCTAGCTAAAACGGACTACGTTTAGAGCCTATTTATCTGAGTTAGTATATTATAGAACTAATCTCTTCGGAACAGGTAAAATCACTAGTAAGCCTTAGTAAGATATATACTAAAGAGCTCTAATATAGTAGAGCTAGAGATTATCTTAATAAGAAGCTTTATATCTTCACTAACCTTTACTAACGAGTATTAGTAAAGTTCACGCTATAGTATAAGGTATTTCTATCTATACTTTAAGATAAAGCCTTATCGTACTACTACTAGTACCTCTAGAACAAAGGGTACTCGTTTGATAAGCTAGTACAGGCTACTCGTAATAATTATAAGACAAAAGAGAGAGCTAATTAATACTTAAGTTAATAGTTTAGTATAACCTTTTCTATGTTTTAAAATAAGCTAATTCAGAAAGGTAAATTAGCTCTGATATAATTAAAAAGCTTCACAAGAAAGCTATAAAGTATCTAATTAAGTCTCAAAGATAATAGTATACGAAATCATAAAACGCTACGTAACAAGCTAATACAGGGAGTTTTAAGAAATCCCTTGTTCAAAATAGCTTTATTTAAGTCACCTCTGATATTCCCTATATTAATAGATAGCCTTCATGTAGCTATAAGTGTAGAAACGACGCAAGATTCTAGATCTAGATCTAGGAGATACTCTAGGAAAGATATAAATCGGTCCTAAATATATATTATAGATAGCGATACCTACTACTTAGACTAAAGGATAAAGTTCTCTTTAGGGAATAAACGTAGAGATAGATTTAAAGTATTCCTAGGCTACACGGGATATATTATCTATAAGAAGATAGACTATTATAGTAGCTATTACTTTAACTAAGAGCAAGTAGCCTTAAAGGCAAGGTATTTTATAAAACAGAAAGCTAAAGGTATTAAGCCTATAGAAAAGTCCTATAAGGTATATATGATATACCTTAAAAGGAAGGAGTTAGATTTAGAGCCTAATTAGGACTAGTTTAAAGGACCTGGTAAAGACTATAAAAAGGACGATTCTGATACCCTAAGAATAATAAACTTAGAAGATATCCGAATTAGTACTAAAACTTATTCGTATTAAGATCTTATTTATAGAGCGGATCAACGGACTACTAATAATTAATAATAATTATAATATCAGGATATATATAGTATATAATACTAAGGCGTTCTTAATAAAGAAAGAGATAAAAGATTAAGAGCTTTCTATTTAGCTATAATTAGAGAGTAAGATTATAACCCTAAGAGTACTATTCTAAAGATCTCGTTAAGTAGAATACGAAGCCCTTATTAAAAGAGGTGTTTTTATCCTTATTTATAAAGATAACCCTAAGGTGAAAAGCTAGTGTATCTTTAAGTCTAAAATAGTAGACAAAGTTAAGGGTAAAAAGATAATAAGTCTATACGAGAAATCTAAGCTTATTATTTAATACTTTAATAATAAGAGTAAATAAGAGATTTTAACTTAATCGCTAATAATCTAATAGATTAGTTAAAGACTTATTATATACTTAGCTATAGCACTTAGCTATCCGGAATATATCTAAAATAACCTTAAATTAAAGTTAGTAATACAGGATATTATATAAGCTTATACTTAAGTAGTAATAAAGCTTCTTTATAAGATATTTATATAGCTACTAGAAGAGATTACTAATAAGTTTCCACTCGGAATAATATTTATAATAGTACTTTTGTTATATAATATACTTAAGTCTGGAAACTACTAGTTTAATATATATTATAAGTATCATATAAGAAGCCTTTAAATAAAGATATTAACTTATAACCCGTGCCTCTTAGTAAGTACTAAAGGAACTAACGAGTTCAGAATTATAAGGATATAAACAGATAATACTCTTATTTTAGGAGATAAGATATTCCTAGCGAGGGAATAAAAAGTAATTAATTAGGCCGGATTTATAACTAAGCTAATATAAGTCTTAGACTAATCTAAATCACTAATGTTTAATAAGTATATTATCTATATAAAAG